ATTAACTCGTCCACGTCAAACCTTTTCGAGAAGTTCCCCCCTGTACGCTGAGTACTTCGAGCTTTATCCGCGAGCAACGTAATAACACGAACGAATAATTTTGACGACGTCCTTTCGTGCGAACGATATTTAATCCTTTCTCCGAGAGTGGATGCTCCGCCGCAGACCGCGCGTCGTATATTCCCGATTAAAAATGGGTTTCTAGTTGCCGCGAGCGTCCCATTCGTTTCTTCGGCCACAAAACTTCCAGACAATTATCCGAAGTACACCTCGTATTTTTCCGAAAAGCGGTAAAAATCCTTGCCGACTCCCTTTTTTCGTGCGTTCGCCGCGAAAGGAGCGCGCGCGCGCAGCGGTGGTCGCGACGGAGCGACGAGCAGAGAGAGAGAGAGAGAGAGAGAGGAGGGCGCGGTAATGACTGTCGCTACTTTTCCGCCGTGTCGGAAGCGCATTGCGCCATTTCCGTCAGACCGGAAGTGCGGTAACAAAGCGCTTCCGGCGTGCGGTCTCAAGGAGGTTGTTACGACGAGCGCGAGCTCGCGCGCGCTCACGGGAACACTCGGTGACATTTCAATGAACTTTGCGGCGGGTACCGTTCTCTTCCTAAAGTTCAGTGGGTCTAACGTGCGTTTCGGGTGTTGACGAACCGGCGGTATTAAGTGTCCTATTGTGCGGCTTCGCGAGCGAGCGATATTAACTCGACTGCCGCGGCGATTCCACCGAGGCGGAATCCACGCGCCGTGTGTAGCCGAGCAAAATCCTGAGCCATTAAACCTCGTACTCTTACGACGAGAAAAGACATTCGTTAGTCGAACGAGCTGCGCAGTAGGGCGCATGAGAGAGGAACGGGCTCTCGTTTCCGCGGCACGCGCTGCATGTCGTTGAGCGCGACGCGCGCGTGTCACAAATCACGGAAATTGTCGCGAGAAATTGTCGCGGGTTACATTGGGATCGTTATTCCGGGGAATAACAACGTATTCGTGCGCTGCGAGAGAATTGGTCTGGGAAGCTCTCCTCCTCGTTGGCCACCGCGTATCTTTCTTTTTTTTATGCATCGAACAGTCATTTGTGCAACGAAAAGTCAAAAAGCTTGTGAAAATTCCATCTTTGATTTGGAGAATCAGAATCTTTAGTATTTCTTCATTTTATACATTTTCATACACTTCAATGCAATATAAAAAATGTCGTGATAAAAATTATTATGCTAAAATATTTTATTAGAATATTTTCTCTGTATACTTTATAATATTTTATAATATTTCAACGTGATAATTCTAACACCCTAAAATTGTAAATAATAATGTTAGCGCTGAAATATTACACTACCAAGGCTCCGTAAGTAATACATGAAGGAACAAAGGCAAATGAAAGCCAACCGCTGTTGTTGGCGCGTGATGAATTTTTCTTCTTTAATTTATCACGTGCGCTTTTTCAATTTAACACTTTGTCGAGCAATTTTACCTTCCCTCTAGATTTGAATTGCCGCACCCAACATCTATGGACGGCTATTAAATCATATATTATCATTCTTATTAGTTCACGGAGAAGAATATTTCGCTGGCACAATAAATTTGTCAGTTACCGTTGTAACGGAAGGAAGATTTGTTATACGGAAAAAATAATCTTGCTGTTGTAGCATAACGTCGTTGCGACAACACTAACATTTACTTGGTATAACCAAATTATCCCGCTGTCCGCCTATCTAGCAAATAGCAATTAATACTCTTAATAAATTTTTATGCTGTCCAAACATATCTTTCTTGCTGTCACCATAGTAACTGACAAATATGCTATGCCGGCGAAACATTTTTCTCCGCGTTGTTTACCATCAGAGCCTTCGTACACACAATATCTTTCTTCGCTTTTTAATATAGCACATTATTCCTCTATATAACCGTGTAAAGCAGATTTGCTTTGTTCATGCAGACGTCGAAAGAGAAATGATCCCGCGGTGATACAAGCGCGACGCTGGTAGCGAGCGCGACAAGTCCGCAGTTGTCTGTTCCGTCTAATTTGCAGTTACGATCACGCGCGTTTCCGTCGATACGACCCCATCCGAGCGCGGTGAAACGAAGGAAAGGAACGTTTCTTCTCTAAAGAGCGACTGCAGACTCGCGAATTGCGCGTTACCGTATCGCGCGAATCGCGCCAAACACACGCGAGCGGGAGGGCCGGTTTCCTGGCACTGCCTCCGATCGCAAAGCGCGGCATAACTTTTTCAGAGACTTCGCGCAGTGCGAAGGCGCGGAATAAAGGTGGTGGTCTAGGAGCTCGCTGTTATTTTATGAAAATTGCATCTCCCGTGCGTTCGCTATCCGCCTTCCGAAGCGGCAGACGCGCGTACGCGCACGTTACACCGCTAAAATGTATTACATGCATCGCGTGCGATTAATGCGTCTGTTGTGTTATTTCGAATACCGTGCATTCGCGCATCTGCTTGCACGCGGCCCGCGGGATAAATTTCATATACCGTATTCCCGAAAGAGAGAGGGGGGGGGGAGAGAGAGAGAGATAGAGCGCGCTCCCTGCAATCTGAAAATTCCAGTTACAGAATCTGAAAATTCCGGTTACGGACTCTCTGTTCATACGAATCGGCCGATTCGCGTATCACGTTGCGAATCGCCAAATTGTATCATCCAATTCATGTGGAAAAATATAATAACCCAGAAAGCATGATAATATACTAATGATATATTAATGACGTATTAATGACGTGAAATGCGTATTATTGACGTATTAATAGCGTCGGGGGGGGGAGTTCGTTGGGAAGTAACGCGCGATTAAATTTGGGATCCCGAGGCTTAATAAGATCACCATCAATCCGAGCGGCTTTGCATTCGAGTAGAGGGAGTACTTAGAATCACCAAGAGAGAAAGAGAGAGGGAGAAGAGTAGTTACTCGGACGTAAAAGGTAAAATTAATATTTTCGACGTTGAATCGTTCCCAAGACTTGCCCGCGCTGAAAAGTTACGCGCACACCCCCGTCGTCCTACGTCGTATCTCGCAAACACTTTATTTCTCACGATTAAAGTTCTGAAGTCGCGGTACGAAATTTTGGCAGACATTCGCCGTCCGTGATAAATAAGATCTGCTCGGAACTTCCAACGCGCAAGGTCGTCCTCACGTAACACAAAAGCAAGTGACATTTGTCCCGGCCACGAGTCTCTGTATGAAAAGAGCGTCCTATTTTTCACGATTCAAGATTTTCTTTTCCTCGACTCGCGCGCGCGTGCGGTGACGCGAACGCCGTTCTTCGATCTCGTCGAGATTGCCCACGCGACGCGTCCCGATTGTCGGGACTCGCGCGATTAACGGCGGCGGCGTCCACTGTGTCGTGATTTCGGCGTACGCGTCGTAAATTATGTCCCTTCGGATTCTACCACCGAAATAAAACGCTGGTCATCAGAGGTCGAGTGATGGGGTTGGAGAAAAGGGGAAGGCTGGGCGCGCGCACGCGTCGTAAAAACGTAAAAATGTGCGACGGTAGGCAAAGGTAGGAGAATAGCGCCGAGTGAGACACAGAGAGTCCGGCGAGCAGAAAGAGTGAGAGAATGGGGCAAAAGGATACAGAGAAAGAGAGAGAGAAAGAGAGAGAGCGCTACCATGGGGATGGGATCGGCAAGGACGGAGGGAATGGGCACAATTAAAATTAGCGCAATTCAGTCACTCGCCGGTAATTCGCGTGCCTGGCATTTATATTATTAAGTCGCGCGAATTTCTCTCGCCACTTCGCGCCCCCGTCATCACTGTGTGTGTGTGTGTGTGTGTGCGTGCGCTCGCACTACCACCCTCATCCTCTCTCTCTCTCTCTGTGTATCAGTCTAACCCCTCTCACGCGCGCACTTTTCACATCGTCCTTTCCCGCGCGTTTTCTCGATGCGACCGAACTCGTCGCTTCGTTGCCGCGATTATCCGCGCAGCAAGGAAGTAATTCCGGGTTTCGAAGTGAATTACGTCTAATTGCTCTTATTGCGAGGACGAGACGGCTTTATTATTCCCTCTTCAATCTCGCCCTCCGACCGCGCCGTCATTCGACTTTTCAAGCTCTCTCTCTCCCTCCTCCGCGCCCGGCTACACTGCCGCCGCCGCCGCCGCGTTTCCACGTCCATGCTTTTTCCACATGCGGCAAAAACACCGCGTTCCAAATGAACGTAGCTCGAGCCCGGCTGCGAGTAATTCTCGTTAACCCGCTATTTCACTTCGCCGCGCCGCCGTCGGCCGGAGAGATTGGTATGATAAACGTCAGCTCGTTCGCGAATGGACGAACCGTTCCGAATCTCCGCGTTAGAGCCGTTTCCGATAAAGTTTGCACCCGTGATTTCCGGCGCTAATATTTACGGGATTAAGCCACTGATAGGACCGGAAATGTAATATCTTTCCGCCAATAGCTTCGCGATGCTATTGCACGCTGTGCCGCAGATATTTTTTTACAAATTACTTCTCGCTCGCCATTCATAGCATTCTCGCGACCGTCAAACTTTCACATGGAAAAATCCTCCCTTGCGATTATGAAATATTGAACGCAACATGCAAAAAGAATCGGATTATATATAATGTAATATTTTTCTCTCAATAGCTTCGTGGTGCTATTGCATATCGCGCCGTCGATATTTTCTATAAATCACTCTTCTGTCGCCGCTCGCGGAACTTTGTTTTTCAATATTCGCAGGGAAAATTTCCCACCGCGCGATTATGATATATCAAATATAATGCAATAAAGAATCGGATTATAATAACAGTAGAGAAAGTGCGGGTAATATGGAATACCTATTTTTAGCCTGTCAAGTGTCGCAATGTAGCTAAACGAAATCCACTAAAAGAGCACGTTATAGAAAAAAACGAAAAAAACATTTGGCATTAAAATTCAACTGCAAAATAATTTCAATTACCTTTAATAGTTTTCGATTTATCTTAGAAAAACCTTAGGGTATTCCATAATACTCGCACTTCCTCTACAGCTTTTAAGAGAGATTTTTCGTGCCAAAAGTCGGTTCGCTTACCTTTGGATGTGTTCTCCTAGGAAACGCTACCTTTGGGTCGATCTGAAACAAGAGAACAGCGAGGTTGAGAAGGTAAAATTCCTTCGAGCTTGATAGACACAAAAATATCGCGAGGCGACGATGAAAATCTACGTTTAGCAACTCGCGTTACTTCAAGTTCCGCGACGGATAAGTCTCGAACTACCTCCTCGTGACCTTTCTCCCCCTCCCTTTCCTCGTGCACCACCTCTCGAGCTCCGAGGGAGGATGCAACCGCGAAAAGAACATTACACGGCGCACGCGAATCCAAACTCGGAAACAAATCTTATTCGCTCGCGAATACTCGCGGCGTCCGGCCGCGCCGCAGAGAGAGAGAAACAAATATGAAAATACGCATTATACGCTAGCGCAGTGGGAAAACGCGGAAAAGGTAGGAAACAGGAATGGACGAACGAACAAAGGGGGAGGTTCTCGCCGGACTGTTTTCCCAGTTGAAATCCCCATTACAATTAATTACATAGTAATAAAGAGTAGGTGCTCGAGAACTCCGAGTCGACTAACCGAACTCTCGGTTGCCCTCGCTGCCGCCGTCGCCGCCGAGCGGCGGAGCCGCCTCTTTTCACTTCGCGGACGATCCCGAGGGGGATGAACACATCGGCTAAGTCGGACGTAAGCGCACCTTACGTTCCGCGTTCCGGCTAAAAAGCAAAGGCTGGAACCGTCCAGAGAAACCCGAAAAACTTCCGCGCGCGAACGCGACAGCCGCGTAAATTTCCAAGCCGGCGGACCGACCCACTCGAACGCTCCCCTCTTTGTTCCCCAATTTCTTCTCGAACATTTTCGAGCATTTGCCACGGAAAGATGTGTGAATTCCGATCGATGGGCGTGTCGAATAACACGGGTGTTAAGGTAGTTGGTTCGCGACAATATTCGAAAGGTAATTAGAACAATTGTTAGAGAGATTGTTAGAAAAGTAATTAGAAAGTTCATTCAAATTCGGGTAATATGCAAAACAGTTCTGAAATGAGAATCGGTATAACAAAACACGACATAATGATCCAAAAATGCAGTTGTTGAGCGCTTATATCTCATATAATGTATAATCCAAAATGGAATATTTCGACCGCAGAATGCAGTCTTCGGTTAAAATAAATTTTCGATAAAAGTACGGCTATGAAGTTAAATGGAGATCATATCAGTCACTCCGTATCCAATAAACAGTGCTTCAGTGCTACCGAAAACGGTTATTCTTCAGTCGAAACGTGCCAATTTTGTATACGTTGTATTACATATTAACGCTTAACTATTGCATTCTTGGCTCTTTATGTCGTGTGTTATTAAATTGGTAATTAACAGAACACGATAAAACTCGACAAATCTGTGCTAAATTGCTAATAAATCAAGTATCTTCGCAACGTGAGGATTTATACTGGATTCCCACACTAATCGCGAAGCGAGATGACGGTCATTTGATAACTCCTGTGTGTCACAGATTCGAGTGTCGCGTCACGCACTATCCCAAATATCCATCTAGAATATTTCCGAGTACGTCCTGCTCATCAAAGGACCTAATCTCGAATTCCCGAACTGTTGCCGGTTTCGAGCGGTGAATAGGTCTATTTCTGCTGATTAGTGATGCTTTCGGATCACACGACTTCACCATTAGGGCCGCCACTGCTATCACGTTTTCCTTTTGACCGACCTAGTCCTGGCTCTGGTATTTTTTAACCGCCGTTTCATCCCGCCTGTCCCAGTCCGCCGTGCATTTGTAATCGATATCGGCAAAGCGATGACATTAAGTTTACGCGAATCGTACATTTTTGTTACACTGCTAATACGTGAAGTAATTTCCGTAGAAATGTACTTTACGGACGTGTTTTATCCCTTATAAGCTGCAGGAGAAAAAAAGGAGCCCAAGTCGATATAATTATATTATTTTAATTTTATATCATTATTTTAAATTATTTTTTATTCTATATCTATTTTACAATTTTATATTATTTTAATTTACTGTTTTATATATATATATATATATATAACAGTAATATATATATATATATATATAACAGTTATATATATATATATATATATATATGTGTGTGTGTGTGTTAGCAAAGCAAAGAGGTTCTTGTGAATATCGCCGAGACTTTTTACAAAGTAAACAGAACATTCAGAATTGCACGATGTTTAACTACGCGATCACGCTCGTCGGGAGTTCCCATTACAGCGCTATTGTCCGCGTTCGCGGAGCTACCCCGAACCGGAAAATCTCGATCTCCCGTTTCTCCGTCTCGCGCCTTCGCGAGACAACGATCGCGACCTCGAATTATTTTATCGAGTCTGTGCGAGTTTCTCAGCGCGCGCGCGCGCGCGTGCTCGCTTGTAATTAGCTCTGAGAGCGCGCGCGCCACTTAAAAAAAGAGAGGAAAGGAGAAAAAGAAAGAAGGAGGAAAGAGTATATTCTTGTGCGCGCGGGCGAACAAGGGAGCCGAGGGGGCGAGTTTTTCTACCCTTGCGCGCGGGCTCCCTCGCAACGAAGAGCGGCCGGCACCCCGGGCGGTGGAAGCCACGAACGTGGTAATGACAAGCAAGAGAACCCGCCCTCCCGCCACCGCCGCCACCGCCATCANCGCCACCGCCATCAGCACCGTCACCGTCATCATCCACCCCGACGACGCGGCTCTCTCTCTCTCTCTCTCTCTCTCTGTACTCGGGAACCACTCCCGTTTGCATAATCCCCTACGGCGAAGTTCACACCGGTCGCTCGCACGCTCCCGGACGAGAGGCGTCTCGACGTCGTCCTCGTATTCGTCGTCGTCGTTGGCGATGAGAGACAGGAGACGAGAGAAAGAGGAGAAGAGATAGGGGGAGTCTTTCCGCCGTTCTTTCGCTTTGGTAATACCTCTTCTTCTGATCTCGCCTTCCGATACGCGGAAGAGATGGGCGGGGATGAAGGAAGTGCCTCTCAAACTTCGCTACTGCACCCACAGGAGCTATTTGCAACGGATTTCGCGGTACACGTCGTACGCCGGATACGAAGTTGCGAGCTACGACTATGGTTCGGATATATCAGTATGTTGAAACTGGAACACAGCAGCCAGTGACACGCCTGGGCTCGTGGAGGTGCCGGAGCGAATGACGCGACCGGGATTCGGCGGACGTTAATCAGCCGAGAGCTGCTTCTTGGTGATGTTCGGCAAATAATTCGATTTCGATAGATCGTCTTCCTCGCTGACTATACATTTCTACTATGGTCGTTCTTATTGCTTCAATTCGTACGGTAGCTTCTTTACGTATCGTTGCGCGTTATTCAGATAAAATTCAACGTACTTGTATCGAAGGATTTGTCCTCAAGCACAAGGTGCTCTTTCGAAAATTGGGACACTACGAGGATATCGTTAGAACTTTGCACGAACGAGTCTATTATCCGACGAGTTCTGAAGTGAAATTTATAATGTAGCTATCTTTGACCGATAGAAGCCAAACTTTCAACTCGAGACCCTCCGCCGCGGTGTCGAAATTGCACGGCGCAGTGATAGATAGCGTGGCGAACGATATCTGCCTCTTCGTATCACTTTCCTCCATCTGATGTAATAGACGTTTGTCAACTAGACGCGATTCGTGGCCGCTCAGTCGATCAACGTGAGGGCCTTCGATGTTCTATTCATTCGATTCGTTTCACCGAACGATGGTCTCGCGCGGACAGAACAGGGAGTCGGCTGCGAGATATAGAAAGTGAGAGGCGACGGAGGGAGAGAGAGGGGAGCGAGAAAGAAAAATAGAGGAAGAGAGAGGGAGGGAAACGTAGGCACGTGGAAACTAAGGAAAGAAAGAAAACGTCGTCGGGAACGGAGAGATAGCATTACCGAGAAAAATCGAGAGGCTCGAAGCCATTTTCGCAAACATAACCCAGTTACCCGATATCTCGCGAAATGATCGGCCGCCAACCATCGTCGTCGTCTTCTTCGTCGTCTTCCTCATCGTCGGTGGCGACGACGACGACGACGATAGAAATTCAATCTGGTTGGCACGCCTGGAAATTGGAAGAGCCACCTACCCCTGGATGCTTCCACCCTGAAGGGGCGCGGTAGAAAGGAGAGTCTCGAGTCGGATCGGGAGCATTTGGAAAAGTAATTCACGACGCCATTCTTCGCAACTACCCCTCTTCCCTTCCGCCGTGTCCCGTCGCCATCCCCGTCGCGACCGTAAGCGGTCTCGCTCCGAAACCTCAATCCACTACTCCCCCTCCCCCTCCCACTCGCTCTCTCCTCGCCCGATGCGAACTGCATCCGCGGATAACGCGAACGAGAAATTTCACAGGCGAACTCGCGCTAATTCCGTAGGAATTCGAATGCTGGTTAAACTGTTATACGAGGTATGTGGCCGTGCGCTCGTACCAAAGACAGAGGAGACGCGGAAATGGCCGTGGAGGCCGTATAACGTTAAAGTTTCAATTATAACGGCGAGAATGAATGACTCGCGGGCTCGAATTGCGAGGGTTGCGCGGGATTCCAAAGCAGTGTACACGCGGGAACGTACGAGCCGTTTGTCTTTCGGAGCGGACGAAATTTATTTTTGACAATCTCACGTCGACGTCTCGCACGCTCTCTCGGCGATATCGATAACCGTCGTGTCGTTCGCGACGTTCCAACGTGGACGCTGTCTTCGTCGCTCCGGTGGAACTAGGAGCAGGTAAGATAACAGGAAAATGTCGCGAGAAATCGTTCATTTCTCGACGGGATTCTTCGCGGCGAGGGCATCCTCGGCTTATTTATCCGCCACGCGGCTTCTATTTTCACGCGGTGAGCTTTTCCGCCGGCTCGTTAGCTATTTAAACAGAGAGAGAGAGAGAGAGAGTGCTTATAATTTATTTCCATCCTGTGTGACGTCTCTCCAACGTTCGGGCAACATCGAACTAGCGCGAACAGAGAGGCGGCATCGACGTCGACGTCGTCGATAGAGACAGCGAGAATTCATCGGCGATGTCATATTTGGCGATGTGGGAGTTTGGAGACGAGAATTATTATTAAATTTCGGAGACCGCCGATTCGTTTCCATCCCCC